GCATTATACAGAAGTGTTATCAGAATTTTCCATGGTGCCAGTCAATCTTGATCCCGGCATAAGTTTTATTTCCTTATTATTATGTTTTTTCAGAAATGAGAATGATTTTGATTGGTTCTCCATTATACTGACATGTTATTATAACAGAATAAATTCTATATTTCTAAAAAAAGTTGTCAAATTATGTCATTTTACTAGTATAACGAGATAAATAATACGTGTCATTTAATTTCGTCATTCGTAATTGATTTCATCACGTGTAACTGATTTCGTCACCCGTAATTGATTTCGTCACCCGTAATTAATTTCGTCACCCGTAATTAATTTCGTAATTAATTTCGTAATTACGTATTACATTTTTGGCAAAATAATTACCATAGCATGTATAATCTATATATATACAACAAACAAAAATTAAAGCTAGTACTAAAGTGTATGATTTAAGTAAATACGGTCGTCGTGTAATAAAAAATCACAATTGGTCAATGAATGAATGTGCCGTTGCAAAGTTTTTGAATTAATCATTTTTTTCGATTGTTTATGTCGCAAAACAAAGTAGTCTATCTATATATATACCAACAAACAAAAATTATGCTAGTACTAAAGTGTATGATTAAGTAAATACGGTCATCGCGTAATAAAAATCACAATTGGTCAATGAATGAATGTGCCGTTGCAAAGTTTTCATTCCATTCGCGAATTAATCATTTTTTTTGATTGTGATCCTTCTTCCCTTTAAGCGTGTTAGTTGTTTTTTTGATTGATATATAAACTGTTTGTATTTATTGATCAAACAAGATTCTTTTTTCAATCAATTCAGCAACTCTCTTTTCAAAAAAAAAGACATCCGTCTTCACCACTATCTCTTTCATCAAGACAGTTTCCGGAACCTCTGCTTTGGCTGGTGTCGCAACCTACAGGTGCGACAATGATGAATTCGTTGACTACAACTACAAGGCGTTTACCTCAATCGAAAACCAGCACATGATCCAAATGATCGAACCAAACACAATAATGTTGGTTACAGGAAGGTTCGTCTTGGAGAACTCTCGATTTGACATGAGTGCTGACTGATTGTTTTTTTTTTTGATGACGTTTTTCCTTTTTGGTTCTTAGACCACTTGCTTACTAGCTGAAATGTGATAAATAAAAAAAAGGTCACGGTCATTCAAGCAGTGTTGCTGAATTTGAAAACGATTGAGGAGCTCCCATCAATCTATGATCTTCCATCTTGTCCGCCCTTTGGCAATTATTCGGCTCTGTGCAAGTCCTCAGAGATCAACAAAGATGCCACCTCCTACTTTACCTTGGGACGAAGGACTTACAATCTTGTGACCTCCAATTACTCAATCGCTGAGGTTGCGTGTTCCTACAATTCCGGCAACTCCAGATATGCTAACGTCGCAAAAGCAATTGAATCTACAGCGGTCTTCTCCGTCAGCGGCAAACTCTATGGAGGGAAGAACATGGTGCAGATAATTACGTCAGATATTGAATGGAACAATGTGTATCCAGCAACAAAAATGAACAATGCATCATCATCAGAACCAGGATCTGATAATAGGAAGAGGCGCAACCAAGATCTGATGAATTATGAGAGCAGGTGTCAAGGCGGCAGCAGCAAAAGGTCTGCTAGAACAAGGGAACACAACCAAAGAACACCAATCAACATCGAAGAGGAGACTGTTGTGGAGCATCCTGAAGAAAGGGTTTCTACTGAGGTGCTGAGAGGTAGTAGCGGAACCCAAACTGAGCCTGAACCTGAACCTGAACTTGAACCTGAACCTGAACCTGAAGAGATCACTATCAACAACTCAAGAGCTAGAAAGCTCAAATCAGCGATGTCCAGCAGAAAAAAAAAATAATTTTTCCTTCGATAAGCTGAAATTAAAATGCATTTACCTTTTTCGTTTAGCTGATTCATTTTCTATTTTTAGTTTTCTTTTTTCGACAAACCTGCAAATGCTTTTTGCCTTTTTCGTTTAGTATTTAGCCAATTCGTTTTTTATTTTTTTTATTTTTAGTTTTTGATCCGTATATCCGTTTGTTTATATTATTTTTTACCTTTTTCGTTTAGTTTATTCATTTTTTATTTTTAGCTGACCTGTTTTTTTTTACTTTTGCTTCGCATCAAGGTTGAACTTTCATTTGTTTGTGTTAACTGACCTTTTCGCTTTGTAATAATAATAATAAATAAAGTTGAACCTCCGTCTGTATATAAGATGCTGATGTGTCTTTATTGATGTCAATGTGTTTTTTTTCCCTCTTGTAAAAATTAATTAACGAATTAAAAAAAAATAAAGTAAAACAAAATATCCAACTACGGATAATACAACCGTTAGGCAAATCAATTTTTTTTTAAAAAAAAAAACACAAAAACGAAAACAAATCACCAACTGTCAAAACGTTAACGTAGAGAAGATGAACCACGAGATGAGGCATTACGCGATTTCCGATTTTGTCGAACCGAGCTCTGAACCACAACCTGACCAGGTTTCAGACGCATCCTTCCTCAGTAGTTACCTTGACCACAACGAAATCAACCAAGGTGCGCGAAGCTTGCAGCAGAACAACAACCAAGCCCCCATGACACCTTTTCCTGTCCCCGCAACCGTTGTGACGTGGTGTCCGTCAGAGGGGCTGTTAAAGCTGTTGGATGAATTCGAGAAGAAGATTTTGTATGACTACCCCTCTACTCCATGTGCCTATTGCTCCGTGCTGATGATGAGCCAAGCGGTGATATGGATCGACTACAATGTGTCCGAAGAGTATACATTACCTATAGCCTTCCCGAACGTTCAGGTTGTGACTCGTGTGAACAGGAGGGGTAGAACCAAGGTCGCCGTCTGCTCTTCCTGTAAAACTGAGAAAAACCGTAGGTACCCCCTCCTTTATCTCCAATTCCGGAAGTGATCAATGCCGTCCCAATGGTGCACCAAAAACATCTATCACCTATCCACATGAGTTGTTCGTTGGGCCACGCTTCAGGATCAAACCCGTACATGAATTATCAACATCTGCAAGGTTTCATTGGGCTCTCTAAAAACAAACATGCCCTCGAGCTACATTCAGGCTTGATCGGTGCCTTCCTGAATTAAAACGAACCGCCAAACTGGTTCCATGAAACGTTAATGCCTGCGAGCCGGTGGCTGAAGGATAACAACCCGATATTTAAAGAGTACAACCAAACCCACGTGCTACAATCTATGCTACCTGAAGCTCTTATCCCACATCCTTTACCTATGGCAAGGTTGGCAAGCACATCAGTTGGTTTGACAACCTCACTTATTAATAATATACACTCACTGGTTGTACCTAACAACGATTTCCCCGTCGAGATACATAATGAGGATTACAGGTACCAAAGTTTGATGGCGGGTTTCTTGAAGACGGATGACAACTTTGATCTACCAATACAAAATGACAACCGTGACATCGAAGCGATGGTGTTTCCTGGCATCTTCACACTTGGTTGTTACCACTACGAGGATTGTAAAAGGCTGTTAGAGTTTAAACAAAGTGTTGACAGTTACGGCAAGTATATCAAGTTACGTATCTTGTGTCCTGATCCAAGATTCAGACTTCATTGGTACTGGCCACATTGGTCGTACCTCAACCTCGAAAAGAAACGCAACTATCAGAACAGGAACAGGATTCTGAACCAGAGAAACGTTACCCGCAACTCACTTCCAACTAGATCCAGCTTGATAACAAAGAGCGCCTACGGTGACCAACCTATAATAAGCGAAGCCTTGACAACGACCTTGCCTTCGTCAATTAGAACCTCTGAGCCCTTTTTCAGGAAGAAGCAATACCAAGTCAACACGATGTTCCAGGCGTATGGCTTACCACAGATCTTCTACATGATGACCATGGGTGAGGGTAGGTGGTGACACCTAAAAGAAATATTGGAGAACACAGATAATAGAGATCCGTTACTGACAAACAGGCCACTCCACGTCTATCTACATTACAACAACAGGTTAATGAATGTGCGTAACAAGCTCTGGAAGAACCCCGAGCTTGTGCAATGGGGAGAACACTTACATTACTTCGAAAGGGACGAATTCCAAAACAGGGGAACCATACACACACATGGATTCACCTATACCGAAGCAAAAATACCTGAGCTGATTGAAAAAAGGACAATACGCGCAGACATGCCTGATCCTGTTACTGAACCGGTACTCTTCCAGCTGGTATCCACATACCAAATACATCAGTGCGTTGAAGAAAAATGTGGAGGCCCAGGGACGAACTCAAGACCGTGTAGAAAGGGTTTCCCCCAACCCCTATCAAGCCACACCTACTGCAGGTCAAATTCTAAACGGTACATCTACCAGAGAACAAAAGAAGCTGATCATTGGGTGGTCCCATACCATCCCGAGACATTGTTGATATGGCAAGGCCACATAAACTTCCAATACATAACCACCCTTGGTTTTGGAAAATACGTGACAAAGTACGCCACCAAGCTCGAGCCAACTGAAGTTTTCAATGTCAGCGAACAGGATTCCTACAGGAAGCATGTCCAAGCCAGAAAGTTAGGATCACTAGAACTCATGATCTTACTCCTACAATACCCGATAACGAGATCCTCAGCTGCCGTCCAGTTTCTCCCATCTGCACCATCCGAATTGCGAATTCGATCAGTCAAGCCCATTTACATGCAGTTTGACAAACCGGAGAATGACGACGAAGGTGATGAAAACAACCTGTATTTTGACGACGCGATTGACAAGTACTTTGACAGGCCAAGGAATGATGTATTTGAGAACATGACCTACCCCGATTACTTCAGAGGCTATAACATAAGAAGCCGGCCACCAGGACCCAACTCGAAACTTTATGTGACCCAAGATCTCAAAAATAGATTCGTTGTCAAGCGAACAAAACCGCTACTCCTAAGATTCACAAATTACAAAGTTGACGATGGTGAGCCCTTCTTCTTCCAACACCTCATTATGAGAGTTCTGGCATGTTCTCAAAATGAGCTACTTGGAAGCTGTTCGAGCTTCAGGAAAAGGTTCCAGAACATGTACCCTGTGAGATATCAGCGAGCCTTAGCCAGGTTGTCTGACAGTTCATTGATCAGTAAGAGCGTGTTCTCTGAAGCATTCAAAAAGGCCGTTACATCAGTTTTAGCAGACTTAGATAAAATCGAGCTTTGAGACATCATCTACAAACAACTCATTTTATTGATAAGGTCACCATCAGCAGCCACATCAACCTTGACCCTCAATGCTGAACAGTACAAGGTCTACGATATCTTGTGTAATTCTTGGGGTCCTGAATGTGAAAACAAACACCCGTACTTCTTCATGACTGGGTCAGCGGGCACTGGTAAATCGTACATGACATGCCGTGTTGTTAATATGCTTAAATCGAGGAAAATCGAGTACCTGTTGCTGTCATCCACCGGGGTATCTGCACAGAGCATAGGTGGCAGAACCATTCACTCAGCCCTTAAGATCAGGCAGCTCAACAACCATTATCAGACCATATTGCTTGATGATGAAACGCTAAAGGCAGAACTCTTAAAAATCAAAGTTATCATCATTGATGAGATTTCTATGGTCTCAAGCGAGCTCTTCACATTCCTAAGCAACATGTTTGCTTCGTTGCACAAAAGCAGCAAAGTGTTTGGAGGAATTCCAGTCCTTGTGATTGGTGACCTTGCTCAACTGCCTCCTGTGAATGGGGAACAGGTCTTTTTTTCACCGGCTTGGAAATTGTTCTTCCCTCTTTTCCTAACCCAACCAGAACGGCAGAAGGAAGACCTAGACTTTTACAATTTTTTAGAGGAGTTAAGATTTGGCAGACTCTCTGAAAAATCAAAATCAATGATAAATGAAAAAATATCCAATTCATGTAACTTAGATGCGATGATAAGCTCAACACATGTTGTTGGCCTTCGACAGACAGCCAATGATATCAACTCTTTCATCTGTAACAACCTGTCGTTCGATGACGAGAACTCCGACATTATTGTGTCCAAGCCTAGAGATGTTTTCAATAATCGGATATTTGACAATAGTGACGATAAGTTACACTTCAAGAACTACACCAACCTCCCAAGCTCTGTCACGTTGCAGGAAGGTGCCCGCGTGATGTATCTGAATAACAGGCTTTTTCAACACAACATATGTAACGGAACCATTGGAGTTGTCACGAAAATCGTTGATGATGATAATGTCGAGGTCACCTTTCCTACAACCAACAATATAGTAAAGATTAATGTCCAGAGGACCACTTCATACTTCAATATTAATGGTATCCCGGCATCGAGGTGCCAGTTTCCCATCCAGAACGCGTTTGCGCTTACCGTTCACAAAACTCAGGGCCTCACATTACCACACTCGACTTTGACCATCGACGAAAATATGTTTGCTGCCGGTCAGATCTATGTGGCGATGAGCAGGGCCCCTTCCTGGAACCTAATGGATATACTGTCCTTTGACTTTGACTGCTTGAAAGTGGACGTCAATGTCATAAATGAGTATAGGAGATTAAATTTCTTAAATCAAAAAGGTTTAAAAGAAATGTAAAAGCCTTAGTCTCTGTTGTGAAATTAATTTTCAATTTAAACTTAATTGATGTGGTTAGATTTTTTTGTTCAATAAAATAAATAAATTTTTTGCTCATTAACAAAAAAAAAAATTGTCTACTTAATTTTTTGAAATCATGGATCATAGAATCAATCATTATGCCATTTCCCAGATCTCATTTCTTTCCAGTACTCAAACTCTTTTGCATTAACCATCCACAAGGCCTAACGTTGCCGCATGTCACCTTGATCGTAGATCAAAATGTGTTTGCTCCTGG